CAGTGTTTGGTACTGGGCAATCAGCCTTATTTTAAGCACATCAAGCAATGACACACTTAGTCTATCCCTTGCAGGACTCCATTCCTAACCTTCCAGCTCATATACATGCTGAAGCAATGCAGCACGCGATTTTAGGAGCATGTAAATTTTTTTCTCAAATGGGCAAAAACTACTTTTAAATTAAAAATAAATTGAAAAAAAAAAAAAGAAAAGAAAAGAAGGAAAACCTTTCCAGTTTGAACTGAGGAAAAACTCTTTATATGACCCAGTGTGACAAAAATATCTTCTACCTGCCCCAGGTAGAGTGTTAGAACTGGAAGCACTGCCTACCCACACCTTTGAATTTTCAAAGGTGATGGTAATGAAGTGGCCCAGTTTATGCACTTAGCTTTTAGATTCTCATGTTGCTGAAAGTAAAGAAACTATGAACCTGGAGGTTGAAGGCACAGCCCATTCAGTTAGGTAAACTATGTCAGGAGATTTTTGGCTGAGTTGATGGTATCTTACTTTCATCTGAATGGTCTTCCTCAGGTTGGTAGTGTGGGTGGTAGGTTGGGATTTCCTGCATGAAAGGAGTAGAAAATGGGGCACAAAGGGAGCCCCTGAGAGAAGTCTGGGAGACCATTGTCCAGACGTCATGAAAGGGAGGACGAAACAGCATGTTCATAACCCTCGTCATGGAGAAGAACGGCTGATCCTGACCCAGCAAATCAGGATATTGTGCTGTTGTGGCAAGTGCTGAAAATGGGGACAGAGAAGCACAGCACTGCAGCTCTGAGGGGTGAGAGGGGAGTTTCCAGTGCTGCAGGGGCCACAAGGTCCTCTCAGATACGCTTTGTGTGAAATGCTTTCTTGTTTCCTAGCAATTCACTTCTGGTTTTGTACAGTTCACCCTTCACAGTCTGCACAGTCACCGATGGTCACATCAGCCAGGGAGACACGTGCTGTGTACAGATGCTCCCTCAGCACAAACACAAAGCAGTGCAAGCTAGACAGTCTTGACATTTTCCATATGGCTACTGTTATGGGCTCACAAAACTTGTGAGTTATTTACCATTATTGGCTGCCCAATTCCAGGCATGGTGCTTTCCAAATAACATGAAGACACTAATCTCTCCCTACAGAACACAATCCAAAATACGAAAGATCTTGTTGGAACAAGGGTAAGGGACACCAGATACAAGCAAAGGGCTCAAGGCAATTAGCAGCAATCACCCTCTTAAAATACTTTTGTTGCTGCTGTCATGACACAGCAACTTTCCATTCTTCCATTGCTTTCATATAATATCACCCTTCAGTTCAGCTATTCACCCCTTCTCTCTGCTGGAAATCACGACCATGGTTTTTCCAAAGAGCTCAAACAATGTTTTTATTTCTCATCCAGCTAAACACAAAAATCCTACAGTAATAACTATCTTTTCCAGGAAAGCTCATGTCTAATATCAGCTGGATGAGAACTTCAGAACTTCTGTACAAGGAGGTAATTTTAACTGTTTATGTGCTAATAAGCTATCTAAAGGACTGAAGAGATTTCTTATTTGATTATATCTCTTATGAATAAGCCTCTGAATAAGAAGAAAGCTTCTCCTTTCTACCCATCACAAGTTACTACACAGCTATGGCATGAGCAGGTGCCATCCTACAGTAGCTGATGAGTGAACCACCCATCCATGGCTGATGCGTCAGTTCTCAGCATATTCTGAAATATTTTGGAATTTCACTGTTTGAAATATGGCCATTTTCTCAGTAGTAGTAGAAAAATGTGCTGAAAAATATCTCAGTAAACAAACCGACCTATTCTCCTGGGCAAGATGCTGTGAAAGTGGGTTAAACACTGTGGCTTGTCAGATGTGCTAGTAGATGAGCTGTATTCTCAGCACTGGTCTTAAGAAGAATACACAGAGCAAATTTCACTTTCACAATCACTAATTGAACATGACTGTGGCTGATAGCACTTTCCTACATCCTCACCTACCCCCAAAAACTATGTCCCATTTGTTTATTGGAAATATTCATGCTTCCCCAGAGATTCAGCAGGGACTGCATCTCTCTGCCAATAGGAACTTGCATGTGGAGTAATTATTCTGCATTTGTTTCTCACTCTTGCCTGATCCAGCCAGTTTAAATCATCATGTTCCTGCAACCTTTCTGCCAGCAGATAAGGGAGTGCAAATCATGCCTAACTTTGCATTTGGTTATGCCACTCCTCATAGTGGTCAAAGAAATATCAGGGACATCTAGACTCAAACTGAGCAACCTTAGATAACTTTTAGCTTTACATACACTTTCAAAGTAACAAATAACCCTGGGTAAACTGTTGAACAAGTAGTGTTCACAAGGAGATGGACAGAAAGAAGGAGACTACAAAGAAAAATAACATTTGTTGAAGTGAAACATGTTGGGAAACTATGCTTTCAGAAGGCCTGATAATATGAGATGAGGATCTTGGGCACATTGACTTCCACATATTTTTGTACATGGGTTTGCCCAGACCCAAGCTTACACATGAAAACACCACTTGGCTCTCAGCACATCAGTGGCAGGCATCAGAACCACCGAAGTTAGCTCCAACAGAAGTCAGGCTCCAATGTAACACTCTAATTTAAGTGTGTCTCTAGAAGAAAAATGTAAAATTTTCTTCTACCTGCAGATAGCTTTTTTCCTAGACTTGTTGGAAAATGGCTGACAGTGTGAGGTTTTTGTACTGTAAGTAGCCCCAGAAACACCGCATTTCAGTGAGATGTCTGCCACCAGCAATGGGTCTATAATGCCAATGGCAATTAAAACTTTGAAAAGTAGCATGCAGTATCTCACAGTTACTGAATAGTGATGAGTATGTTATTGTTCATAGACCTTTGAGCTTGGCTCAAACCTCAGGTAATTTTTCCTTATCTTGCAATCCTCTGCACCTTCAGATCAATCAAATTTCTTCCATGAACTTCTAAAAAAACAGGGTAAAATATCTCAGAACATGCAAAAACCCACCTGCTCTGAATACACAATAGGGAAAGCACAGCTCATGGTGTAGTACTAGCATAAAGCAACATAACATGTATCAACCCAGATAAAATACACCCACTGTTGCATGATTTATGACAAAACATTCTCAGTGCAGTTGGAAGAAGTGAATTCTGGAGGGTAAGACACAGATTTAAAGAAGCTGGTTTTCTGTTAAAAAAGAAAATCTGTAATTCCTTTTTTTTTCCCCTTATAAAAAAAAAAAAGAACAAAAGTCAGCTGGGAAGGGCATCCAAAGTTTTCCTTATGCACAAGCAAAGCCAACCATGGCCTTGCACATCATCAGGCCATATAAAGCAAACAGAGAAGTGGTAGTAGCAATGCTCAGATCCTTTTCCCCAGCTGGTAGCTGAAACCTGTGTCGTGAAAGAGATCAAGATCCCTGTTACTTCTATATAGGAGTCACGTATATCCATATAGAGAGACTAACAGTCTATATATTATTTGCAGTATGTTTTGAACAGGTTGGTTTTTTGTAAATAGTTATACTCAGAGGGATGGCTTCAGTCTGTTAAGGCTATGCTGTAGCATCAAGGGTTTAATAGCTGTGTGGTGAGACCAAGGTAGCCCAGGGCACCCAGACAGACAGTTGTGCGTCTTCTGCCCCTCTTTTAGGGGACTGCTATAAGCACACCCACAGCATTCTAGAAGAAATGCCACAGGGCTGCCAGAAGCAAGGAGTGTGATATCCTGGTAGCAATGAAAGAAATCCTGACTCTCCCTCATGATGTTGCATTCCTTAATTTCCCTGTAGTCAGAGTTTTGATGGATGACTCTGATAGGTCACAACAAGGATGAAATGCCACCTGTTTCTAAAACAGCCTCCACAGGCAGTTCAGGTAAAAGCAATAGAACAATGTAACCCACTCAGTCCGATGTTTGGCCTGCGGCTTGTGAATACTGCTGGCAGACTACCAGGCTGTGTGTGCAGGCAGTCCTCGAGCCTCCAGACCCAGCTTGAGGTGACCATAGTGCCCATCTCCCTCTGTGACTGCCTCTTGGCTGCCACCTCCACCTCTCAGTCCTCACTGGAACATAGCTATTTCTGCTTGCATGCCTCAGGCAATGGTTCCTTTTGTTTCTTCTGCTCAGAGGATTAGCAAATCAAGCTGGATATTAACCCAGGAGGCAACATAGTGCCCCATAAAGAGCTAACAGTGTGTGACAGTCTGCTGTGCTGTGTCCCAGCTGTGTACTCAGTGACCCCAGGTCTGGAACAACACAGAAGGCACAGAGCCCAGTGCCCCTGGCATCTGACTTGGATTCGTGTAAACGAATGATTAACAACTACTAAAAAAACCACCTGAACCATACAAACAGTTTTAGCTCCGTATTTCCTTAAAAGAAAGTTTTAATGCTCACTTTTGTACCCTTTATTGCCAAGTCTCAGTACAGCACTTCAAGTCAGTTATGGGCAGAGATACGCTATGTAGGATCACAAAACATGGACATTTTGGGATTCAGTTTCCTTAGGTGCTATGAAATGGACATTCTAGCAAATGTTGTGCATAGCAGGTCTTTCTTTCCTTCCACAATGTCTTTAGCTCCAGCAGCAGCAATACATACTTCAGGCTGCTGGCCAGCTGGAATAAGATGGATCCGTATCTCAGGAAGAACAACTGGTCTGTGAAAGCCTCCTGTTTCTGAGACTGCCTCTGGACCTGGTACCTATTACAGCCAGTAGAACTGAAATACAGAAGACATTCGTGGTTTTCCCAGTAGGCTGTTAGATTAATGGCTTCAGAAGAATGGTTTAACAGAGAGGAAAATTTAAGTCATTGTTTGGGTTTACTAAAAGAGGGAAGGTCTTGGACCAGTTCCCTTAAAAATTAACATCCCTCAGGGCCGCGATGCTTCTCCTGCTGCTTGTAGGGACCCATTTGAGGCTGAAGCATGGATGAGAGCTACAAACCTTGCTCTGGGTCTCTGGGTAGAGGAGAAAGAATAAGGCCATGGAGCAGTGGAAGAGAGCAAATGAGGATGACAGCTTTTTCTGTGTCTGAATTACAAGGAATTTGAGGTATTGTCAAACTCTGTCTGTCCCCTCATTCAACATCAGTCTATTACAGGCTGGACTGAGGACACCAACTTATGTCGTATGACCAATACAATATAGACATCACATTTGGTTACATGAGTAATATGATGGCCATGAGTAACCTAAAGGTAAAAGCTTTGGTGGCATTTTATTTTCTCTCTGAGTTCCTGGAAACATAAAATGAAACAAGGAGGCAAATGTCTGAATGAAAGAAATCCAAGTAGTATTCGTGAATTTTTTTGCTAGGCAAATGCCATTACTAAAAGAGACTCTTAAACACATGAAATACTCTTAGGGCCCTCCCTATTTCCCCAAGACTGTCCGTTCATTGGTGTAGGTCTGTGTGTGCTTTTAGTTTAATAAAACCACCCCAGCAGTGTGTTGTTGAGCTATGGAAAATGTAAGTCTATGGGAAGTATTCAGCTCTGACTCATTATCTGTATCTAACCACAGGATCATGAGCTCAGAAATAGAGAGCAACTTTCACATCCACACAATTAGCCTACAGCATTCTTTTCGCCTGTAGTTTTGTCATGCAGCAAACAGTTTTGTTTGATTTTTCATCCCAAACACGGTTACTGTAACACTATAAAGTAATGAATGAGTGAGAAAGCATGGATGAGAGAGGGAGGTTCTTTGGCAATGTCCTTGTTAAGCTGCTGGCAAGTTGCCTTACTCAGGATGTGGAACAGCAGCTGAAAACAACCAACCACCAAGTCTATATCATGAAGCCTCAGGACTGCAGTGCTGTTGCTAGGGATCCTGCTTGCAAAGTGCCATGGTTGAATAAAGTAGGTCAAGAAAATTACCATTATAATGAGATTCTCCTTGCTGTTCTCTAGCCTGTCCCCCACCTGGCCCTGCGTCACTGCAGGACCTTCCTCATTGCTTCATTTTTTCCTTTCTGCACAGCAGCCTATCTGCACAGAAATGGCAAGAAACTCCATTACAGCCTAGTGGGAAAGACTCACAGCTTTTAAAACAAAGGGAGCTGCTGCGTGGAAGCCCTCAGGCTGAGGAGAACCCATAGTTCCCAAGTGAGCTCTGCAACCTATTGCTGTCTTCTCCCCTTCTATCAGATAGCCACTCTGGTATAGACTAAGTATTGAAAGGATGGAGGTATTCAATGAGAAGACCTGATTTAGATGCCCATTAAGACATACAGCTGTCTTGCTGTTTCTCTTTGGCAGACCGAGCATCTCCTTCTTCACTCCCTGGGAGCAGTGGGAATATTTTCTGAGGAGGTGCCTAGTCCTATTACTCCATCCAAGAGAAAGATAGGCACATACTTCTGAGAGAATATACTAACTTAAAGAGTTAATACTAAGCATCCAGCCTAGGAGGTCCCAGATGCCTCACATCTGCCCTATTACAGCCCTATCAGTACAAGCTTGCTTTTTGAATTAGGTCAATTTGCTTAGGGGTTACATTATGAATCAGTTCAGGGTTCAGGACAAATATAATGTACTCAAAAAGTACCAACCAAGAAGAGATTCTGAAAGACCCCGTTAGCCTGGAATAGGGCAGTTTCTCCTCTGTTTGCCTGTGGGAGTAGTCTTGTTAGCTGGCCTGTATCATCACTGTGATCTTATCTCGACAGCCCAGATGGTAACCAGTATTTTGGAGAGTGGTGGCCAGGTCTGATTCATTTCTGTTCTTCACATTTTGAGAACAAATATAAGTTCTCTCTGTTCCTGTACCACTGCTCAGGAAGACTAAGATCAGGTTAGTCCATGGCACAACCCAGCACTTAACTCCACCTTTCCAGCCAGCCATGCCTGAGCACTCCTAAGAAAATGACAAAATACATGCCTTTAAGAAAGAAATTGCTCATGTCTCCATTTTGTCATCAAATATATTAATAACTACTTAATAACTATGAATTGTTTGTGCAGTACTTACCTACCAAGAAGAGCTAGGAAGTGTTAAGTGTTTTTAAAAAATGCTAAATTTGAAAAATTGCATGACAATGAACTCCTATAAAAACAATAAGCTTTTTATGCTTGTACAATGACTTTTTATTCTTCAGCAGTGTTGCTGTTGCTGAGTTTTTCCATTTCCTTCATAAATGCCAACTGTCTGGTGAGAAGGTTATTTACTAGGAGTGCTGGTGATACATAATCTCTATCTTCCTCTCAGAAAGAGCCTGGAGGGAGGGAGAGGCAGTCGTATGCCCTCTGATAATAGCACAGCCCAAAGTGAGGAATATAATTACACATATATTTTTGTCATCCTTTCACCTGAGGCCATAGACAATATTTTGGATCTAGCTCTCTTGTTTTCATGTCAAAGATAAACAGATGATGCTAGTCAAGTACTTCCTTTGGTGCCCTCCCCTATCTACAAAGACTACATGGGGAGTGCTATTTCCATGAAAACAGCAGGAGCAAAACAGAATCAATCACCATTTTCAGAGATCCCCGATTCTGACTTGCCAAAGGGGTTTGTGCTAAATATCACTGCTTTCATTTCCTCTGATGGAGATTCTTTCTCTTTTGTTTTCTTGTATCTGTTCTTTTTCTTCTCCTCACGCAACCATCTTGGAGAGCAATTCCCAAAACTTTGCCTTTGCCACCTGCCTCAGGGAACACTTCTCAGATCCACAGCTCCATTGCTGCCAGGAT